CGGCCCCCCCCCCCAAAAAAAAAAGAAAAAGAAAAAAGAAATACACAGAGGTCAAACACAGAGGAAAGTATTGAAGGCTGAGAACTTGCATAAAAAACAAGAGAGTGGTGAAATTTAACATCTGAAATTGACTAAACATACAAGCATAAGTTCCATTAATTTATACCGAAAATTATCAACACCCACCTCAGAGAGTCTGTATTGGACATCATGAACAGGGCTACTGTCCCTGACTGAATGATTCCAGGGTAAGCAAGAACAACACACAGTGGGGCAGCACTGTGGGCTGCAGGGCCCAGGGGGACAGGGATTTGAGACACCTGACAGCTCTTGAATTTTTGAGGTATCTCTGCTGGGGTCGAGGCAGATAGTCATACCATGAACAAAGATGCTGAGGCGGGAGAATGTCAGTGTGTTGTAGATGGGAGAGAACCCTGACAGGTTTGCTTCTGTGCTTCTTAGGAATTCTAGGGCCACACACAAACCAAGCAAGTGGTCTCTAATATACACTCTTCCCTTGTCTTGATGGACAGGGGACATTAAGAGTTTGGTGAAGGCTAGAGAGAAAGCCAGAAGGGTGACTGTGGAACCCAGAGCAGAGGGGGACTTTGGAGTCTGTCAGCTGTCCCTTCTTGTTTTGTAGAAGAGGCCAGAGCGAGAACGCTTACCTGGTCTGTTGGCATGGTTGAAGGGCTCCAAGCATCTCTTTGCATGTGAGCATACAACAGGAAACACGATAAAGGACTGGGGAGGACAACTCAGAGGAGAAAGGCTCAGAGTCCAGAGACCCACAGAGGGGTCCCTGGGTGGTACTTTAGAGGAAGAAGAGATGATGAAGCACCAAGGAGCCATGACAGTAACCAAGGTTGCCTGTTCTGTGAGACACTGTGTCTCCTGTTGACCACAGTAAATCACCAGGTCTCCTGTGCAGTCCCAGCTCCACTCAGCAGCCTCACCCTCTTGAGCAACCAGCTCCAATGAGAGGGACTCCTCCTGCTCAGGGGGACAGGAGGTGAGGTGCTCCTTCCAGCTCAGCCATACTCCTGGTTTAAGGTGAACTTCTAACTCCAAAAGTCTTGTACCTAATGCCCACTAAGCCTGAGGCTCTGGTATAGGTGCTTTACAAAGACTATCTCATTTTAACTTCCCTGTTTGAAATACCAATATTTCTGTTTTTCAGTTAAGGAGACTAAAGTTTGGTTAAGACATTTTCTCTCTCTCTTTTTTTTTTTTTTCGAGATAGGGTTTCTCTGTGTAGCCCTGGCTGTCCTGGAACTCACTCTGTAGACCAGGCTAGCCTCGAACTCTCGAACTCTCGAACTCTCGAACTCAGAAATCTGCCTGCCTCTGCCTCCCAAGTGCTGGGATTAAAGGCGTGTGCCACCACCGCCAGGCTGACATTTTCTCTTTGTTTAAAAAAAATTATGTATTTATGTATGTGTGTCTGTCATGTGTGGTGTGTGTGTGTGCGTTTGTCTGTCTGTCTGTCTGCAGGGACTGGAAGAGGGTACTGGATTCCTAGAGATGGAATCACAGGCAGTTATGTACTGCCTCACGTGAGACCTGGGTTCTCAGGAAGAACAGCAAGTGTTCTTAACCAATGAACCATGTCTCCAACCTGCTCCCTTTGCCCACTTTCCTTGGAAATTATATCTTTTTAAAGATGTATTTATTTTTATTTATATGAGCACACTGTAGCTGTCTTCAGACACACCACAAGAGGGCATCAGATTCCGTTACAGATGGTTGTGAGCCACCATCTGGTTGCTGGGAATTGAACTCAGGACCTCTGGAAGAGCAGTCAGTGCTCTTAACTACTGAGCCATCTCTCCAGCCCAGAAATTATAATTTTGAAATAGGATCTCTCTATGTATCCCCAGACTGGCTTGTATTCATACTCCTCGTGCCTTGGCCTTCTGAGAGCTAGGGTCTTAGGAGTGTGCCTCCACGCTTGGTGGCCGTTTCCTCAAGCCCTTAGTTGGTGGGAGAGCCACCCTGAGAGCTGGTCCTGGTTTTTCCGACTTAAAGAGTCTGTGCTCCAACCATCCTACCCTTTGCTTTGCCGTTGCTCTCCTCATAGGGTCCTTGGTGCTGAGCCTCTCCAGATATAGATGCAAATGCATTGGAACCTCAGGTTGGATGTGTGGCCAGGGTGAAGGAGGGGCTTTTTCTTTTTTTTTTTTTCTGATATCCCAGACATCAAAATACTTTCTGGGACATTTTCCTAGCTGGGCCTTTAAAACAACTCTGTAACACCCCAGATGTAGGTCTAGTGCCTGATTCCAGAGGCAGGGGGCTGTAGGCGGAAGGCTATGCCACTGAGACTGGAATATGGAGCCTGCTGCTGCCTCCCAGAGCATCACACCCTACCGTCCTGCCTTGAGATCTGCCTATGGAACCCAGGGGTTTCTGGAACTGTTTACCAGAGGAAGAGTAACTTGGGAGTGACTGTGGCCAGGTTCGGGACCACAATATAAGCCTGTCACCTCTTGAGGTAGCAGATAGATAGCTATGGCAACTAAACAGAGCTAACAAGATCTGTCTTGAAATGGTTGAGGATTGGTCCAGGGCTGGCTAAACGGGAGCTCTCACTAGGATGGGCAGCTTCTTCAAAGGGGTGGGGCGTTGGCAGGAAGAAGTAAAACAAAAGGTTCTACCTTCCTGGGCCTGAAGAACAGACCTCAGGATGTGATTTAGCTGAAGCCAAAGCCTTTTAGTTTCAACAAAGCTCCTGGCAGCTCTCTCAGTGGCACCTAAGACTTCAGTAAACACGGAGAAGGTGTGTGGTATGAAGTCGTGTGGCCATCACGCTGTGTTCCCTACAGGCTGACTCACAGGAACACACTCTCTCTTCGTCTCAGTGCCAGGAAACTCTGTGTTTCTCCAGGGCAGCAGCTTTGCTTCTTACTCTCCGGTGACTGCTGGGACGCTCTGTTAACATTATGGCTTATTGCACAGGGCTGTATGGTGTGGCTTTTGTGTGCTAATACTGCTCCCGGCTTTACTGCCCCTTTCTTCTACAAAATATCTATTTAAAATCCCGGTGACCTGTAATTGTGCACTACTTACGATTTTTATTCTTTGAGACAGAGTATCCCATGTCCCCCAGGCTGGCCATGGATTCTTGGTTCTCTACTTTGCATATAACAGGTGCTGGGACTACAGATATGGTGTGGGTTTTGGGTTTTGGTCTTTTTTTTTTTTTTTTTTTTGAGGGGAAGGGAGGGTGTTTGATTTTGTGCAAGGACATTGTTTTAGTTACCTTTCCTAATACTGATAAAATAAAATAACCTGACTGAATGAAGAAAGAAGAAGGAGGGGGAGGAAGAGGAGGAAGAAGAGGAAGAGGAGGAGATGGAGGAGAAAGGAAAGGAATAAAGAAAGGAATAAAGAAAGAAAGAAAGAAAGAAAGAAAGAAGAAAGGAAGGAAAGGAAAGGAAAGAAAAGGAAAGGAAAGGAAAGGAAAGAAAAGGAAAGGAAAGGAAAAAGAAGGGAAGGAAAAAGGAAAGGAAAGAAAAGAAAAGAAAAGGACTGCTCCTAGGAGTGATGGAAGAGGGGAAAGATAGTTGTAGATAAAAGGGGGAGCAGAGCCAGAGGTAGAGACATCTGGGAGAGTCCAGAGTGGACATGATCCTGAGCCACGTGAGGAGAGCAGAGAGTAGCCAAGAAGGAAAGAAGAAGAAGGGGGGCAGGCAATCAAATGGCTGGACTTTGATAGTAAAGGGAAGAGCCTCTGGGGTAAGGGCTGAAGAGATGCGGGTAGAGGGCGGGTATGCCAGCCATCACCTGTAACAGATAGAGACCGGGGGATGCTGGGAGAAGCTGGCAGCCAGGTCTGCTTTTGGTGTGTTAGACATCTCAGCCACCGTTTGTCAGAGGTTTGAGACGTCACACTGAGGAGAGCCATTTAAGGGAGAAAGGGTTTGTTTTGGCGCAATGTTTAAGGTTCGACTCCATCTCAGAGGGGTGAGCATCACAAAAGCAAGAGCTTGAAGCAAGGGGGTCACATTGCACCCACAATCAAAAAGCAGAGAGTAGTGACTGTGTGCTCAGCTCACTTTATCCTCTTTATATGATCCAGAATCCTAACCTAGGGAATGGTGCTGCCCACAGTGGGCTGGTCAGCCCTCTCCAAATAGCCTAATGATGCCAGGCAGTGGTGGAGCACGCCTTTAATCCCAGCACTTGGGAGGCAGAGGCAGGCGGATTTCTGAGTTTGAGGCCAGCCTGGTCTACAGAGTGAGTTCCAGGACAGCCAGGGCTGAAAGAGAAACCCTGTCTCAAAAAACAAAACAAACAAACAAACAAAAAAACAAAAAAAAACCAAATAGCCTAATGAAAATAATCTCTCATAGATATGCCCAGAAACCTGTCTTCTGGGCGATAAAACTGACAATTGAGATTAACCATCACAGGCATGGGAGAAGAGAAAAAAAGGAAAAGAAAGCAAACGGAAAAACACAAGAGGAAGTGATTCTGCTAACACTCATTCCTCTCGGGTTCTGTCAAGGGTATCAGTTCTGCTTGGCTTTCAAAGAAACAAAAACGTTCACACCTGTAAGTGAAATATGTCAGAAATCTCTCAAACAAATGGTTAATAAAATAAAACAGGAGGGTGAGCCATTTCTTTGACGTATAATCTTATTTTTTGTGTTCACAAAATATCAATTTTTATACACTTTTTATTGCAAGTGTAGAAAGACGTGAAAAAGAGCAATAAACCTGAGTTGGGGCAGAAAGCCCAAGGGAAGGTAGTGGAAGGGTTGTCATGGGCGCTGGGATCGTGGGCAGAGTGTAAGTTATGGACTATTCTTTCTGGTATAATTAAAATGTTTCACTTAAACTGCTGTGCATCTGTTGAGAACCCTCTGTTTATGGCTGAATAGGGATGGGAAGGGTGTGGTGGGAAGGGAACCCTGAACACTGTGCAATATATCAGCATCCTGATGTTTTTGAAAGGGTAAGAATGGGTACCATACACTGATGGGGCTGTGTTGCAGGCTTCGTGGTCCAGGGCTCTACTGGAGAGTTTCCATTCCTGACCAGCCTTGAGCGCCTGGAGGTGGTTAGCCGCGTGCGCCAGGCCATACCCAAGGACAAGCTCCTGATAGCCGGCTCTGGCTGCGAGTGTAAGGACACAATGCCTTGGGACCTGGGGTTGCTGGGCTGTGGGGGCAGGAATCCAGGCTCCTTGGCCCTAGGGATGGGTTCTGTCTGTTTTGCCACTGCTGAGATACACTGAGGCCTGCTTTGCTTGCCTTCTCCCGTCTCCCTCACTGCAGCCACGCAAGCCACGGTAGAGATGACTGTCAGCATGGCTCAGGTGGGTGCCGATGCCGCCATGGTGGTGACCCCTTGTTACTATCGCGGCCGCATGAGCAGCGCTGCCCTCATTCACCACTACACCAAGGTAGGTGGGAGTGGTGGGCGTGGACTGGAAGCCAGGGACCAAGAGATTGACAGAGATGGAGGCGGTACCTAAGGAGAAGCTAGGAGTGGAGAGCATATGTCATGTTAATAGTCACTCTAGGACGTAGGTATGATGCCATCATGTACCAACTGTGTGACAGTAGACCATTTACCTAACCTCTTTCTATCAGATTCCTTTCCTTTAAAACAGGGAGACTAGGAGCTCGAGAGACGGCTCCATAGTTAAGAGTGCATAGTGCTCCTACAGAGGACCTAACTTCAATTCCCGGCATCCAAGTTGGGTGGCTTGCGACCACATACAACAATGCCAGCTCTGGGGGATCGACCTCTGACCTTTGAGGGCACCAGCACTCATGTGGATATACCCATGATTAAAGATAATAAAATAAATCTTTTAAAAAAAAAAAAAAAACAGGGAGAATAATGGCACCTGCCTTGTGTGCTTCTTCAGGGTCACACGAGGTCTGCAACATACATAGCTTCGAGCTGCACCTGATGTGCCGACGGCACTCAGAAACTTGCGACCCGTCATTGGTACCCACACTTCAGGAGGCAGACCTTCCACTTAGCCCTGCACAGCAACCCAGTCCAGGGCCTGTAAGGGTGAGGCTGCAGCCCTTCAGACCCAGACAGTTGCCTTCTCCTCCTTTTTCTCTGGGCCCACAGGTTGCTGATCTTTCTCCAATCCCTGTGGTGTTGTACAGTGTCCCAGCCAACACAGGGCTAGAACTGCCTATGGATGCCGTGGTTACATTGTCTCAGCACCCGAATATCATTGGCTTGAAGGACAGTGGCGGAGATGTGAGTGGCTGCGGCTCCCACACTGGAACCTCCTTCCCTTTCACTGATCCCAGCATGGCAGCTTCTAACCCAGAGCAGCTCTGAGGCCTTGTCAGTCCCCAGGCTCCTGCTCGTTGGGTGGGCTCCCCAAGGCACTGCCTGAACTTGAGGGCATCTCTTTGGGTACTGGGCTGTATTTTGACAGCACATGCCCAGCCCATCCAGGCTGTTGGTTCTGGGCTCAGTTCTCATGACACATTTACTGCTACAGGTGACCAGGATTGGGCTCATTGTTCACAAGACCAGCAAGCAGGATTTCCAGGTGTTGGCTGGGTCAGTTGGCTTCCTCCTGGCCAGCTATGCTGTGGGTAAGCCTCCTGTGGTTCTTGAACTACCCTGACTAACCAGGATGCACCTAGGCATCTGGGTCTGCAGGAAACAGTTGTCTCAACTCTGGGTGCTTAGACTTGACCCTTTTGGGTGGGTGTATGAGGACAGTGCTGGCCTGTGGGGATGCCTGCAGTTGGTAAAGTCCCAATTCCATGCTTAGATGACAAAATTAACTCCTCTAATCTCACCCTGTAAATCATTCTCAGAGCAGAGGTCTCAGGCCTCTGCTCTAGGCCAGGAGTCCGCTTTCCTCTACTTCTATCCATGGGACAGAGTGAACTGTCGGACCTGGGGGTTGGGATGGGATCTCTAGCTGATCATTCTCTCTTCAGACCAGCTTCCTAGCAATGCCACCGAGATGAACTGCTCTTGTCTGTTTTGAGAGCCAGCCTTTGGGTTCAAGCAGGATTCAGCCCTGGGGGTTAGAGCCGAGGAACAGAAGCATCAGCGGCCTGAGAACTGAGATTTTCCAGACTGTGGGAGACAATAGTGGTTTCCTTTACTCTCTTTGGACACTTACCCTTTACCGCCCTATAGTCTCTGAAGTAGAGGGAGTGGGATGGGGCATTTGTAGCTCTTTCCTGAGAATCCAGATAGGGAAGGCACAGACTCTGGAGGTGGGGGCAACTGAGTTGGGGTTTCTTCAACAATGCCATTTATTCACTCAAGACACCAGCCCTCACTGGGCCTGCCTTTTTACCCTAAAAATCGAAGTGGTCTGGTGAGGGTTAGAAGGCCGCCAGCTCCATCTGCCATGGTGCCCAGCACATAAGTATTTTTTCATTTGTTTTTTGAGACAGGTCTCTCTATGTAGCCCTGGTTATCTTAGAACTTGCTATGTTGCCCAAGCTGGCCTTTGAACTCACAGAGATCCACCTGCCTCTGCTTCCTGAGTGCTAGGATTAAAGGCCTGCAGCACCATACATGTCTATAACTATCTTTTGGTTTTAAATAAATTTGTTCAGGTTAAATTTTTAAGATTTTTGTTTTGTTTTGTTTTGTTTCCAGACAGATTTCTCTGTGTAGTCCTAGCTGTCCTGGGACTCTATCTATAGACCAGGCTGGCCTTGAACTCAGAGATCTACCTGCCTCTGCCTCCCAAGTGCTTAAAGGGATTAAAGGCATGCGCCACCACCACCCGGCTCAAAATTATATCTTAGTTATTTTGCATGCATATGTATGTATGAGGGTACACATGCCTAATAGCATGTATGTGGAAGCTAAAGGACAACTTGAGAAGATGTTTCTTTCCTACCGCTTAAGTCCTGAGGATTGAACTTGGGTCATCAGGTTTAACTTGTAAGCATCTCTTACCCACAGAACCCTCTCCCTGGCCGCATAGTGTGTATCTTACAACTAGCAAACATACTGGCCCATTCCCAACTGTCTTCCTTCCAGTCCTGAGCCGCTATGCTTAGGGTCACTCTTAACATGTCGTAGAATCACCATCAAAGGCTGATTTTCACATCACGAAGCAAAGGGGAGGAGATGCCCAGGCTCCTGACCCCATGTCCAAACGTTCTCTCCTCACTACCAGTTAACTGGAGGAGTGAGACTTCAGAACTCCAGTTCCCAGTTCCTCAGCCTCTAAGATGTCAAGATCCTATTGTGGGGACATGGTGGGCAGGAGGCAGGAAAAGGGCTGTGGTTGGCTTTGAATAGCACCTGGCATGCAGACCTCTCGTTTTGAACACATAGGAGTCTTTGCCTCTGGAAATACATATTCTGGACACACAGAACATGTCCAAAGATTATAGAAATCTATGTCCTGTGTCCCCTAGATGTAAAGGTTATACCAGGGCCCAGGGTTTGAGACTGTATGGCAGGTGGCCCTCCCTGATGATGTTCTTGTGTCTCCTTTGGGCAGGAGCTGTTGGGGGCATATGTGGCCTGGCCAATGTGTTGGGGGCCCAGGTGTGCCAGCTGGAGAGACTCTGCCTCACAGGGCAGTGGGAGGCTGCCCAGAAACTACAGCACCGCCTCATCGAGCCCAACACTGCGGTGAGCTCCCAGCCTGTACGGGCACAGGGTCCCTGTTCAATCCTTCCCCCTCAGAATGCCCACATAGAGAATGTCCCAGTGTCCCTAAAGCCTCCCCCAGGAAACTGATTGCAGAGAGAGTGAGCTCTGTTGGTTCTCAGGCTTTGGAATTCATTGGCATTCCCACGTAGGCTAGTTAAATGTCCAACCCTTTTGAATGTAGCGGCAGTCTTTGCCTGAGCATGCACTGAAACAAGTGTCCCAAGAGATGGCAACATCAGTAACTCTGGGGTTATACCTAGAGATTTAAAGCCTAGGACAGTGCAGCCTGGCCTGTACAGGGCCCAGAAGTCAGAGTGACTGGCAGGGGAGACCTGGAAATACTTTGATTTTCCAGAAAAGCTGTCAGAATAAGGTACTCTGCAGTTCAGACCCTGGTTTCTAGTTCTTTTGGAGGGTGGGAAGGTCAAGGAGGACTTAGCAGGGAAGGCTGATCTAGATCAAAGCTATTTCAAAATCTGAAGCAAACTGAAAAAAAAATGCATATTCTTATTTTATTTGAAATGGAGTCTCACTGTGTTTGCCCAGGCTGGATTTGAACTTGCTGGCTCTTGAGATCCTCCTGCCTCAGCCTAAGTTGTGAATGTGTGTGTGTCCACCAGCATGCATGTTGTACTGTCTTATTTCTCTTTTGATAGCTGGGCAGTAACGTGCGGCTAAGGGCATTGACCATCTTTTCACGCATTTGCTTGTTGCAGTCCTTCACTTAGTTATCTGCTTCTGTCCTGAGCCCATTTTCTTTTTTCTTTCTGGGGCTGGAAATCATACCCAAGTTTCACACAAGCCAGACCTGTGCTGTTTCCCAACTGCAGCCCTGCCTTGTCTCCTTACCATTTTCTGAGTGAATGTCTTTCTTTCTTTCTCTTTCTTTCTTTCTTTCTTTCTTTCTTTCTTTTTTTTTTTTGGTTTTTCGAGACAGGGTTTCTCTGGCTGTCCTGGAACTCACTCTGTAGACCAGGCTAGCCTCGAACTCTTGAACTCAGAAATCTGCCTGCCTCTGCCTCCCAAGTGCTGGGATTAAAGGCGTGCACCACCACTGCCCGGCATGAATGTCTTTCTTAACTGTTAAATTTTGAAGAGCTACACACTAGTCCTTTGTTAGATATGTGTTTACAAATATTTTCCCCTAGACTTTAGGTTGTCTTTTTCATTTTCTTTACATGATTTTGATCAATTTTTAAATTGACCAAAATTTTAGTTTTAAATTTGGGGGGAAAAAGAGATTTTTTTTTTTTTTTTTAAAGATTTATTTATTTATTTTATTTATGAGTGAACTGTAGCTGTCTTCAGACACACCAGAAGAGGGCATCCAATCTCATTATGGATGGTTGTGAGCCACCATGTGGTTGCTGGGATTTGAACTCAGGACCTCTGGAAGAGCAGTCAGTGCTCTTAACCGCTGAGCCATCTCTCCAGCCCCGAAAAAGAGATTTTTGATGAAGTCAATTTTCTTCCTTGAATCATACTATCAATATCAAGTCTAAGAAGTCTTTGTTCAGCTCTAGTTGCTAAATATATTCTCCTACTTTGTTTCCTAAAAGTTCTATAGTTATGTTGTAAAAGCTTGTGACCCATTTTGAGTTAATATTTGTGTAAAGTCTGAGACTTTGGCCAAGGTTCCTTTTTTTTTTTTTTTTTTAATGGATATCCAGTGCTTCCAAAGCCGTTTGTTGAGAAAGCTTTCTTTCCTCCATTGAACTGCCCTTTCTACCTTTGTCAAAAACCAGTGGGGAAGATGTGTAAGAGTCTATTTCTGGGTTCTCTGTTCTCTCCATTGATCTGTGTGTCTGTGGCTGCCCTGTGCTACAGTAGAAGGGGTTCAGTGCCTTTTAACAGGCTGCTTCCTTCTGGTTTCTTCTTCCTCAGTATCGCTTTAGGTAATTGGTTCCCTTGTCTTTCCATATTAATTTTAGAATAATCTCGTCTATAGCTACAAAACTCTCTTGCTAGGAAGCGCTAATCTGTAGACCAGTCTGGGAGGCAGTGCTCTCCGTCCACGTTCTCCTTAAACACGGTGCTTTCTCTACCCATTGGAATCTTCTTTGTTTTCAGTGTTTTGTAGGTTTTTTTTTTCCAAAGAAGTTCTTTACATAGTTTGAAAATGTATACCTATGTTTCAGTACGTAGCCCTGGCTGTCCTGTTACCCTCGGCGATCTGCCTATTTCTGCTTTCCAAGTTCTGGGATTAAAGGAATACATCACCACATCCAGCTACTTCATGTTTTTTTGGGGAGGGGCAAGTGAAATTCCATTTTAATTTCACTATGTGTATATTAATTGCTATTATTCTAGTACTTAGAAACACAACTCTCTTGCTCTGTGTATGTGTGTGTGTATGTGTGCACGTACGTGGGTAGCATGTATGATGACAATGAAACCCAGGGCCTCAAGCATGCTAGAAAATTTGCCATATCACTGAGCTAATTTCCCAGCCCTATAGCTGATTTTTAACTATCTTAACCTCCTGTAACTTTGCTGAACTCACTCGGTAGTTCTAGAAGGGATTTCTTGTCATTTGTAGATTCTTTGGGATGCTCTACGTAGACTTCATATCATCTACAGATAGATGTTATATCATGTACACATAGATGTCATATCATCTACACATAGGCATCATATCATGTATGCATATGACGACTTAATTGTGTTATTTATTTATTTATCTAAGTATATGAATACATTGTATCTGTCCTCAGACACACCAGAAGAGGGCATCGGATCTCATTACAGATGGTTGTGAGCCACCAAGTGGTTGCTGGGAATTGAACTCAGGACCTCTGGAAGAGCAGTCAGTGCTCTTAACCGCTGAGCCATCTCTCCAGCCACTAATTGTGTTCATTTTGACTAGTGTCATTTACTTGCTTTTTTTACCTTTCTGCACTGACCACGACTTCCTGTGCTAGGTTGAATAAAATCCCTGGTTCCTGTTCTCAAAGTGAAAGCTCTCAGTCTTTCACAAGTATAATGCTTGCTCTGAATTTTTGTAGAATATATGTATATATATATATATACATACATATATATGTATGTATATATATATATA